CCAGGAATCCAGCACCCACTGCTGGCCCTGCCACCCCAGCATGGCTCCAGGAATCTGGCACGCTGGGATTTCCCCGAGCTGTTCCATCCCGGACATTTTCTCAGCTCCCACCCCCACAGCTTCAGACCAGCTGCGGGCCCGCTCCAAGTCAGACAGATTTCAGTGACATCACTTTCCTGGCTCTGCTCCCACCAGCCTCACCACAAGCCAAGAAGTTTTTCTATCAGTGGGAGGCTGAAAGCTCATTTAAGAGCAGGGAGATCCTCTCACGAGGAGCCCAGGGCAGGCACAGGCATAGATGTGGGAAGGACAGTGGCTTTTACAGCTGGAAGAGGGGATTCCTCCAGAGGCTAAAGCAGGCAGAGAGATGTCACAATCCCCTGTGACAGCAGCCTGCAGCTGACTGGCTGAATCCCCAGGTTCCCAGCAGTTCCCAGCTAGCAGGGACTGGTGGTAGGAGCCCTTTGCCCCATGCTCACCGTAGGGATAGCCCCACGTGCTGTACTCTGGGGGCAGGATGAGCGAGCTGGCTGTGGGGACAGGCACCACATTCCCCTCAGCGTAGTAGGGGACAGTGGCTCCTGTGGACAGGCAGAGCGTGGGGTGGTTTGGGGAGCCCGTCTGCTCTGAGTCCGCCCGGATCTCCTGGAAGCTCAGTCCTGGGGCRTAGCTGAAGGGCTGCTGCTGGGAATGGCTTTTGGTGGGGATGGAGACATTGTCCATGGGGTGATAGCCACTGGCAGCCTCCTCTTCCTCYGGGGGAGCACTGGGGACCACCACAGATGGGATGTGCTGGATGGAGCGGGAGGGGCTCAGYGGGACCCTGTTCACAGCAATGTTCCCAATGTAGATGGGGAGAGTGACTGAAACCTCAGGGGACTTGAGGGAAACCTGMAAGAGAAGGAAAAACATCAGCAGTGGGAAGATTCAGCTGATGTCAGGACCATCCCCACCACACAGCTCCAGAGCTCAGCCCAGGGAGCACAGAGCCAYGGCCCAGTGCAGGGAGCACGGATGAACTCACCTGGATGTAGTAGTCAATGTGGATGAGGCTGCAGCCCTGCAGGATGGACTGGGGCAGTGCTGGAACCAGGATCTGCTCCTTCCATTCTGCATGTTTCCAGGCTTTCACCCCGGAGCCTTCCACCTCTGCGATGGTCCTCAGGTCGTAAATCCAGCGCTTGGACTTGTAGGCCACTTTCTGCAAGAGACAGGAGGAGACACAGCTTGCACAGAGGCTGCAGGTGTRGGTCAGGACACAAACACACCCAAGTGCTTTGTCAAACAGGCACAACACAAACCTAAGGGTGTGTTCCGGAGCAGGAATACCCATTGTGGACAGGTGGGTAGGGATAAGCAACACAAGTTCTATCTCCTTTTTCCCCAGGAAAGCAGAGAGGAACAGAGCTGGAGATTTGGCCTCATCGCTGCCCTAGTGGGATGRAGCCCCAGCATCAGCCAGAGAATCACCCCACTGGACACCCACCTGGAGCAGACTGGCCACCACAGCGCCGGTGTCGCGGCCGGACTTGTTCTCGATGTCCGTGCGGAGCTGGATGGCCTGGCCCACGATGTAGCCCTTCAGATCAGACGTGGCTGTCAGGATGATGTTGCCACTTTTCACCAGCTTGTAGTTGAACTTCTTGGTGATGGACATAGTGTTGGGTTGCTGCAGGATAGCAGAGACAGAGGTGTTGGCTCAAGAGAGTCAGAGAGCCTCGGGGAAAGCWCTCAAGAGAGTCAAAACAATATTTGTAGAAATATTTGCATCTAAGAGGATGGAAAGAARCAGCAACATGGCAACACCACAGACAGCAGGTTTCACTTCTCCAGCCCACAGTTCTCATATCCTGTTAGTCACTCTTGCCTCCAAAACAAGTTCTCCACACCCAGGTCTCTCCAAGCACAAGACAACATGTGTCTCTGCGTGCTGAAAATTCACCTGAATCTTTCAAAACAGCACAGGCCAGAGTCAGAAATCACCTGGAGTAGGGACTGATGGCAAGGCAGGAGAGATGARAAGTCCTTGCCTGCAGTCACAGCATGCAGTCAGAGCTGTCCAGCCACACAGTGACTCCTCAGACAGCAGGACAAGGACAAATGCTGCAGTGCTGGCACTTCCCATCCACATCCCTCCCCGCTCATACCTCGATGTCAGGGATGTCGTTCAAATTGAGAGGGCAGAGAACATAGAAGATCTTGTTGCATTTGTAGTCCTTGGAGAAGCGAGGTGTGTCTATCACAGCTTTCACCTGATGCAGGACCTTGCCAAAAGGGCCTTCAAATGATGTGGGAGCAGAAGCTGGAGACAAGGGAGAAAGAAAAGGCTATAAGGCTGAGTCAGACCAGTTTCTGAACTGGACATAGATGCAAAAGSCAAGGTTTACAGAGAAAGGCCTGCAGTCACTTCTCTGCATCCTACCTGGCAGCAGGAACTGGAAGGGAAAGTTGTGCTCTCCAGCTGTCAGGACCCCTGCGGAAACAAGAGAGAAGGGTAAGTGAAGGCTGAGAGGCTGTTACCTTGCAATGTATGATCTTTTAGGAGAGGCCACCCCCCAGGAAATCCCTCACAACCTGCTCAGCTGCCTRCAGCCACTGGACAGCTCCAGATCCGCYGGGCAGTGCTTGACCCAACAGCAGCACCTGCTGCCACCCACCCCTTCTTGGGACAGGAGATGTTCTGCATCAAGACACCCTGTAAATGAGGGGGTTTGGGGCAGGGTCAAAGGGATCSCAGTGCCACAGCAGGTGTTTATCCCAGGCTATTGAAACAGGGCACAGAGCAGAGCTGCTGTGTTTACTTTCCCTCAAGTCTTGCCGCTGTCAGGCAGTCAGGGGGAAKGTCAGAGATCCCAGGCACTGAGGGTGGCAGGGAGTTCTGGTGGGATYTCTGCCATCAGCCACACACCAAGCCCCTCAGACTGCACAGGGTTCAGGAGCTGGGACCAGAGGTCCGTCCACCCCTGCAATACCTCAGCTCGGCTGCTGAGACAACAGGAGCCCARAAAAATATTTCCACAACATTCAAACCTCAGCACTTGTTTGTTTCAACCACTGCTCTGCAACAGCCTCAAGGGCACAGGGCACAGCCAAGATCCAGCCCATGGCTAAAACAACAGCTACAGACTCCAACTCCCCACTCCACCCACCCTCCAGCACTCCCATTCTGATCCCAGATTCCCTCCTGGGCAGYGTGATGGCTGAACTGGACCCACAGTGTGATCCAGGCAGCTCCTAAAGCTGCCTTCAGTAGAAAACTACTGAGGTTTATCCACATTTGTTAAATCTGTGTGCACACAAGAGGTTTTGTTTTTAAGCTGGAAGGAGAGCTGGATACCCAGTAAATGGAGCCGTGTTTGTTCTGCTTTGTAGGATCATTGCTGGAGGTACCAAAACCCCGTTTCTGGCTGGTGCTTTTGTTGTTGTAAGACAGGAGGAGGCAGCGTGCCCGTTAGCAACGCTGGCTCTGCAGAGCTGACAGTAATCGAGTCCTGTCGTCAGGGGATTAAGTGGATTACATGGAAGGGGGAGCTGGGGAAGAGAGGAGTAACTCCCCCCCACTGACACCGCAGCCCAGGCAGGACTTGGTGTGTCGTTCATGCTGTGAAAAGCTGAATCTCTGCCTCTCTGCTCGATCAGCCACCCCAGGGGGACAAGGGACACCCCAGCGAGCGTGTCCCGCCCGCAGCGCAGGGACGGCGGGATAAATAATCCAAAAGGCTCCTCATCACGGATCCCTGCAAAGGCTCGTCGGGAGAACATCAGAGCTGTCTATTTATACACCTTGTCCTCACAGAGAGGAGCAAGATTTGCTCATTGCCATCACCTCCCTGCTGATTCCCCTGCCGTCCCCCGAACAAACACGAGTTATGTAGGCTAAAATGCAGCACCCGGCGCTGTCACCAGATGGARGCATCAAGCCAGGCTCTGCCCTCGCTGCCAGGCTGATGCTCCGGAGCTGGGCAGAGCTGTGGGACAGCCTCTCCTGTCCCTCGTGGGCAGCCTTGCTCGGTGAARGTGGCAGGTGAGCYGCAGCAGGTGCCTGTGCTGSTTGGCTCTRGGATAAAGTCAGGTTAATGTGAATRACTCCATGAACCCAGYCCTTGTGTGCTGCCCCGAGGGTTTCTGTGTTTCAATGGGCACCATTCAACATTGATCTTACACCCATTAGCCCTGCTTGCAGAATGCAAATGGATAACTGGAAAACAGCACTGTCCTATGCAGCTCCTGCATTGCAGTACAGGGACTCTCTCYACCTGAAAGGGACTGGGAGCAAGTCCTGTTCCTGCCCTGCAGAAGGGAGGGAGGTGGGAGTTCCAGAGGGTGCTGGGCACCAAATTTCCACCAAGACCTGGAGAATTCCCTGCTGTGAGCCCCAGATGAAGGTGCAGGAAGTGATTTCAAGTCTCCTGTTAGGAACATTCACAATCTTTCCAGAACCCTTAGGATCAAGTAAAAATCCCAATTCTGCATTACAGACAGCACCAGCCAACAAGTCATTTCTGTCCAACTCCTGCCCAGCTCAGGTGCAGCAGCAGAAAGTTGGTCTGGAAGTGAACCTGTGAGCACTTTCACAGTTTTAACTCTGTAGCACTGAGCAAGGCCATGAACTCTCCCAGGAACACGTACGGGCAGTGTCACCCACAAAGGATGTGGCTTGGCTGTCAGAGCCACCGTGTGACTCTCTGGCACTGAGGCAGGGAGCCTTTGTGCACAGGTAGCCCAAACTCTGAGCACATCAGCAGATGGGAACTGCCCCAGAGGCAGCCCAGCCCTCCCTGATGGCTCTGCCCAAGTGCCTAATGACCTGAAGAACCTGCAGATCCCTCCTGCAGCTGCTGCCTGTGAGAAGCTCCCCTTGAGGGCTGACAAAGGCCCTTCCTGCACTCTGCAGCCAGGGAGGAGCTCCCAAAGCAGCCACCCCAGACTGAGCTGTGCCCTGCCACAGCTCACAGGGACCAAGGGCATCACAGCAGTGCTCAACCCAGCACCACAGAGCCCCAGCCCTGAGCTGAGCTGGGARCCAGGGAAGCACAGCGAGCCCTGCTCTCCACTCCACTGAGCAGGGAGATGCTACAGGTGACAAACAGCAGCTCTTGTCTTTAGACTGCTCTTTCCAGCCCACTCTCCCCTTCCCCCAGAGAGAGAGAAGCATCTTTAGGCATCCTCAGCATCCCAGAGTGGGCATTCCAAGGCACCCACTAGTGCAGAGAGGCGTTTAGTGCCAGAGCTGTTTCAGAGACAGGGGTTAACAACATGAAGCTGAAGAAAAGTCCAAGGTCCTGACCAAGATGGGAGAATCCCATGAAAGCACAGAGTGATTCAGCGTGCCTGGCAGAGCAACAAGGCAGCAGAGGTACCAGGTGAGCTCAGGTGCTGCCTGCCTCCGGCTGCAGCAGGAGGAGAAGCAGATATTCAGCAGTTATCTGGGTACAGTAATTTCTGCTTCTCCTGGCAGAGGCACCTCCAGCACAGACACAGCAAAGGGTCCATTTACAACTTGAAATTATGAAACTATTTCTGTTTTCTGCCTGCTGTGTGGTGGAAAGTTGGGAAAYCCCAAGCCAAGCACCCTAACAGGGGGAAAGGAAGTGGCAACTACTTCTAAACTCTCCAGCTGGCAACTTTGCTCCTAAAGGCTGAGCTTCCATTTCCAGATGCTAACTAATCTTGYTATAGTAGGGAAAAACTGCAATTTCCCTTGTCCCAGCCACCCCATGGGCATGGGCAGGGCACAGACTGACCTTGAGCCAACACCCAGGTATTTTTCTCACGGAAAACAGGAGCAAAAGTCACCTCAGCTCCCTGCAAGGGACACTCGCAGTGTCAGTCAATGTGAGTCTCACCAGACACTCAGGTGCCTTGAACAGATCCCCAGATTGGTGCAGCACCAGGCACAGCATCCAGAGCTGTCCCACAGCTGTACCAGCTGGGCAATTCCAGCAGCAAGGGGAACACAGAGCCCATGGGAAGCCACTGTCCCTCCAGCCCTGAGAGTCTCAAATAATAATCCAGGACATTTATTGTGCTAATTTCATTTGCAAGTGAGCTTTTCAGCAGCTGGTGGCAGCAGGCAGAGATGAGCTGATTTCCAGCCATGGTGGGACCCACAGCCACCCCAACACCTGGGAAGAGCTGCCCCTTCCCACACTGCTCCCAAAGCAGAGGCTTTGCCAAACCAGCCCCAGCCTGGGCAGGGCACAGMGGGTCAGCAGGAGTTCAGCACTGCTCCAGGGGGCTACTGGACCCCTCCAACAGGGCTCAGGGAGCTCCACTGTGAGGGGACAGGGCTGTGCCAGCCACGCTGAGCCGGCACCTCCCCGTTCCCAGAAGCAGGAACAAAGGCCCCAGTGTCCTCGGCTGCAAAAAAGCTTTTCCTGAGGTTTACGTGCAGCTAAAAATACCTTGGGAGAGTCATTAGGAGGCAGAGGCAGCTTGCTTAGCAGGGTTCTGCTGTGGGGCTGTACCTGCAGCAGCCTTTGCCCCTGATAGGAGCTGAGCCAGCAGAGATTGGCCGCCCCCGCACGGCCTTGGGAAACTTCCGCTRAAAATTCCTGGAGGGAGAGAAACTGCTGCCCCAGACAGCCCAGGGAAATACCAAATCCAGACAGCAGGAGCAGCAACAGCACACTAACAGTGCAGAAGGACTTTGGAGGTTTCCCTGAATCCAGGGGAGACCTGTCCAGTCTCCCCCATTCATGGCTCAGATGCTCCCCTTGTTCCACACTGGGGCTGGGGTTGTTCACCCACACCACTGGATGTGGAGGAACCTTGGAACAAACTCATCGTTTACAGACAGGAAATGCCATGATCCAGAGGGCTGGTGCCAGGTCTCTGGATCCCCTGGTGATGCCAGGTTGCCATTCAGAGAGAGCTTGCCAGGCTGAAGGGGTTGGGCCTGTGAGAACTTCGGGAAGTTTGATACGGTCAAATGCAAGGTCCTGCAGCTGGGTCAGGGCAATCCTGAGCAAAAACACAGGCTGGGCAGAGAAYKGATGGAGAGGAGCCTTGAGGAGAAGAATCTGGGRATGCTGGGGGATGAGAAGCTCAACCCCACCCCAACGTGTCCCAACCACATGTGSTGGGCTGAGCCCCAGCGTGGGCAGCAGGGGAGGGGAGGGGGGGATTCTGTCCCTGTGCTCAGGTCAGACCCCACCTGCAGAGCTGCCCCAGCCCTGGGGAACAGCACAGGGAGGACCTGGAGCTGCTGAAAAGAGTCCAGGGAAGGCTCCAGAGATGCTCCAAGGGCTGGAGCCCCTCTGCTCTGGAGCTGAGAGAGCTGGGGAAGCTCATCTGGAGAGGAGAAGGCTCCAGGGAGAGCTCAGAGCCCCTTGCAGGGCCTAAAGGGGCTCCAGGAGAGCTGGAGAGGGACTGGGGACAAGGGATGGAGGGACAGGACACAGGGAATGGCTTCCCACTGCCAGAGGGCAGGGATGGATGGGATATTGGGAAGGAATTGTTCCCTGGGAGGGT